ACCCAGCGTCGATAGCAGCGAGATCGGCCTCCACGTCCTCGCTATCTTGTAGTCCTTCTTCCCCGGTTTCTTGAGAGGGATGATCTTGGCGGCCCTCCATTGATCCGGAAGTCGTCCTTCGCTTAGCGATGTGCGAAACAGGTGCATCACTCGCTCCTTCACCGCCGGCCACAGCTGCTTCCGAGAACCCGTAAGCAGCCCCTGAGCTCAGACAATGCTTTCGTCTTGACACTGAGTTAGATACTTTCTTTTCCCGTGGTTTTTTAGCCAACGATAGATAAGAAACGGCTCTGTGGAGATTGGTCAATCAATTGATATATTCTCTATCTATTTATATACGTATCGCTAGATGAATCGCTGTGGCAGAGTTTGGAAAAAATAAAATGCCTCTGTTGACTTCCACTGAACTCTCTCGAACAGCTCCAATTTGGATTAATAGTAGAAACCAATCTTGAATAAATGCTTGGATACTCATGCATTCCAATATATCCTGCCTACCAGGTCTTTACGTAGTGTTTCATGGCATCTTATCGGAGATAGAAAGTACTTGTACGCCAGCAGTGTTTGGCAACTGGAAGCGATATACCCTAACAGTAGTCGGCAGAAGAAGCTTCTTAACCCATCCAGGACTAGCTCCATCGGCTGCTTTTACGGCAAAACGCCGGGAAACTTCATAGTCGTCTGAGTTGGCACATACGAAAATTGAATAATGCGACGGGATTCAGTTCAACCTTTCTACATTAGTAATAGTAGGTGGGGCGCATCGGGTTAGTATTGATCCGCCCAGGTTCGGCTGATGAACAACATCGCGTAAGACGCGTTCAAACCTCGAAAGACTGATAATTCCACCTTACTAGGCACCGCCATATCCCCAACCCGCGCAATTCACTTGTTTTCGCGATGCATTCAGGTAAGACTATGGCTCCTTGGTGTTATCTTTATCGAAGTTTCCCAGACAATTTGGTATGAGACAAGATCTAGAGCGCGTCGCGTTCGTACTCCGAACCCCATTCATCCGACTCAAAGCCAAGTCCTCCACATCTGACCAAAGGGGTGAGCTAAACTTCTATAGCATTTCGCAAACGCAAAGTCTCGCGAGTGATAAGGGTTTTAGGCGCGACGAAATGTAGGATCGGTAAAAAATGGTTGGACGGCAAACGCAAGCAAACTCAGTAAGCTAATTTTCAGGCATGGTTTTTTTCGGTACTTACGGATCTTAGATGCATCACAAAGAAGACCAAAAGGCAATCAATTGTAATTATATTTCGTAAACATTCCGGCGGTGGCTCCTGTGGCTAACAACCCTTTAGGGCACCAAAACTTCTTATGCCAAGCCTAAGCGGCCAGAAGCAGTCACCAACAAGGCAAGACATGTATCGATAAAAGAAGAGACTCGAAGTAAACCACCTAAGCAAGTACAACAAGGCGATCTCTCGGCCCTCCTCTCGGGGTCGTGGGAGGATAAGATCGAAAGAATTACTCACTGCGTGGGCAAGGCCGATGACCGTAAGTGTCCGGCTGTTTACACACTTTGGAAGGACGGAAGAAAGGCCATATTTGATTGGCACGTCATATGCGAGAAGTGCCCGAACATGGTTGCTCACTAAACCCTTAGTTTATCAAGTGTTACGCTAACATAGCTCAGTTGGGCCTTTTAGTCAACGACCTACTCGACGATTCTAGTTAGGAAAGGGGCCCGTTCCTGGATCGATTATTTTTACAAAAACGCGTAAGGGGCACGTCCCAGCGCGACGGTCCTTCTTTTTCCTCTTTTTGTTTGCTTTATTTGCCTTGCCTTTCCTTCTTGCTCGTTCTGTTATTATACCACGATAGCCTTGCGCCACGAGTGGACTTCATATCGCTCTAGTTAATTCCGTTTTTTGAATTAGTGTCTGTGCGTCTGATTCCGAGTTCTGCTGCTCTGATTTTCATGTGGGGTAAAAGAAAGCATCATGCGGACAGATAAAGACTTTTCGTTATTTCATGAAAACCCAGCCCAGTTAGTGGACAGGATATTCTCTGGTACTTCACGAGACATTACCACGCGACGTAATAAGTCATATTACTATGTACAACTAAATTACAAATCTTATTACAAACTCGGCGAATACATACCGCCGCATCAGAAAAATTGCCTCTTCTCTTGCTTGATCGACATTCTTAACTGCACGGTTTAAGCATGGCAACTTCATCACTCTTATAGGGTAAGCTCTTTTTAGTGATACAGTGCTGTGACTCGCTCGCTTGTCAACCATGTCGAAACACTACTCCTGGTCAAAAAATCAACCTAGTAACTAATGACCAAATCAACTCTAGTAGAGTTGATTTTATTGACCCAATTTAAACCTAGTAGGGTTGATTTTTGCCAGGGTGTAGAGTTGATTTGAAAGAAACAGGGGTTTGACACGGACTTGGCAGGGGTTTGCCCAGAACACGACCGCGTCCTGTCGCGTTAAGTGCTATAGAGATGTAGTATCAAATCTCCATCATTATTCAGATCTCACTATCAGTAACCAGGTCACTGTGATGCCCACTATGACGGCTGCGAACTTGCAGCCTGAAACGTGCAGTGCAATTTATCCCTACGTTCTTCTCTCTTCATACCGCCTTCTCGTGTGCCAGGTTTGTGGGTTCGCCTCCGTAGCCGTTGAAGTTGCTACGCATTTGAAAACACGACATCGCGATATACAGCCAGAGCATCGGCAGGGGCTGATGAAGAAGATAAACCAGATCCCGAACATCAGCCGCAATCAGGACGAATTACGTGATTTGCAGTACCCAACGAGTACGATTGAACCCATCCCTTACCTTGCGCCACCAGAACCAGACGGTTTGAAATGCCGTGCTTGTGGCCATATTCTGCGTCGCATCCAAAAGATGCAAAAGCATTGCGCTGAGAAACATCAATGGATAAACCCAAGAGGCAGGGGAAGACCAGTACCGGATTGCCACGAATCTGCTGATGAACCACCGTGGGAGGAACATGTCGCGTGTCAACGATTCTTTCCTAGCAGGGCCGGCAGCAGATGGTTCCAAGTAAATGTCCAGACACGGCCACAAACCGATGTGCGCAACAGAATGCATACAAACTCGTTCCAATCGCGAGTGGAGCCACGAGAACTCGACCAGGCCTCATGCTCTCATCTCAGTGAAGTAATAGAACGTGAACAGACATATTCGGAAACAGTGAACCAGCCACGTTTGAGTAGTAAAGATATGGACAATGGCTCTTTTGCGACTACGAGCATCTGGATGGAGAGAACACGATGGCAAGATATATACAAAGGCGCAAGGCGCGATATCTTGCGATCATCGACTCGACTACCTGACCGACGCGCCTTGGCAATTGACCGCTTCTTGGGGCAGGGAAACCAAGAATCTGATCCAGACATCACAAGCTCGAGCGAAGCTGAGCAGAAGATTTCTTGCATCTTAGAGGCTTTAGATACTGTAGTGGACCGATGCGAAGACACGATCAGTCGAACAAGCCGTTTTCTTCTATGCTGGCTGAACAGCACGAAATACCAGCACTTTTACGAAAGACCTTTCAGTCTAGTGGCGGAAAAGAGTACCGAAAAAAATACCGGAATGTCCAGAAACGCCTGTTGGCTTTTGCTTTTCGGACGCATATAATGACAGCCAGACTTAGGACAGATTGTATGAGGTTTCAGCTAAGCGAATATCTGTCCTCCCAGCTCCAAGTCATATGGGAGCATAAGGTCTGGCAATCATTCGACTGTTCCAGCGGATTATGGCCTATGGTACCGAGAGGTAAAAAAATCGGCGAAGCCGTGGACGAGGCTTCTGTACGCCTCGAGCATCCCCTGCTGCAGGAGGAAATTATTCCAGCCAATGCATCGCAATCTGAAGATGTTGACAGTGAGCAAGATGAGGAGGAACCCTATAGTGATGAAGAAGACGAACATACAGATTCGGTGTTCAGTTACGACCAGCTCGACCGTGAAAACTCAGAGTTTACAGACGACCAAGTCGAAGCCGATGGGGGCCACCATGGCAATTATTCAATGATACAAGATGAGTCCAACAAGGCTACATTCATGGAGTTTCTTGAACTTTTACACCAGTTATGTTTCACCATTAGCACTGAGCGTTCCATCGAAGGTCGACCGAGCTCTACACTACTTGTATTCTTCAGTGGAATATTTGGCTTCTCCCAAGATTGCAAGCATTTCTTACGCGCGAGGCAGTTTTGTCCATATCTCTCGGGTCTCATCTATATTCAACGTCGGATACTGATGGAACGCGCCTTGCCGTTACGAGAGTACCGTGCTATTGGGATTCCACAACGTTCATATGTGAACCAGCTGGATCAGTCGAATTCAATTCGAGAAAGGTACATGATAGCAGGCACACAGTACCCACTCGCTGAAATGACTAGTCTCAGAGACTTTGGTCGCAATATCGCCCGTACCGAGCACCATCCATCTTGTTCTACGGGGATGACTGCCGCCTATAAGGTTAACCTTTAGGCTGCAAACACAGGTGACAAATAAGAACACGGTATTTTTTTCCTCAATATAAGCTTTTACCCAGAAGCTTTCACGATGACCATTACATCTTGCTGCAAGCCCTAGGGCATTGCAAAGTGAAGAGATCAGGAGGTATATAAAGGGATATAACCTCGGGTTTGCATCTCTGCACACACACCACAACACAACTCCACCAACAACATGTCAGCTACTCCAGCAATCCGAACTGTTGTCGGCGACGACTCGACGAGCCAAGAGGCTCAAGACTGCATCCACCAGTTCCCCATTATCTTTATCAACCTTGGAGGCGTGGCTAAGTTGCATATTGGTATGAAAGGTAGCGCCCAAGAGCTTCATTCATCCATCTTGTTCAGCTGGAGTGATGATGGAGAAATAACACGCTATGGTGACTTCCAATTGACCATGGACAAATTCCGACAAATCCCCGATTATTTCATCTCGAGAGCAGAAGAGATTTGTGACAAGCTGATGTTTGACATCAAGCCTGACATTGATCTAGCAGCGATAAAGGATGACATGGTCAATATGTCGAGCGGATATTCGTTTGTGAAACATCCAGCGAATCATCTTGATAAAGCCTACTTGGACCTGCTTTACTCAGGATATGCTTCTCGGGAGAGTAAGCTCAGCGAGGGCGGGTGTTGGAGATGGAAATTCATGGACTTATATCTCAAGCAAGTTACGAAGCTGGAGGAGATGCTTGCTGGGGGCCTCTACACAGCATGTGGTCAAACTCCGCGAGCGCGTGACCTTTTTACGCTAGCATGCGAGAGTGGCCCTTCTACGAACTGCAGTATCTCAATTTGGAACGGGTTGATGGCCTACATACTACGGCATCACAAAGCTAAACGGCAAATGGGCCGAGAGTTTTATGTGGTTCGGTTTCTGCCATCACGGCTGGCGTATATTATGTACAACTATCTGGTTTATGTTCGGCGTTTCGCCGCCCTCTTGAGACGGGAGCAACAAACTCGGCCATTTCCATACTATCACGAACGGCTATTATTCAATAGTAGCGGAAAGCCGTGGTGCACTGCTCGTCTTACGTCAATACTCGCTGATACATTATTATCAGACCCCCCGGAAATTCTCGGGCTAAATATCCCAGGCTTATGGTAGTGATATCACAATGTGCTGCATCGAACGGTAAGAAATTCTCACGATAGACAGGTTCATCGGTAGCGGATAACAAGTGGTGATTCGGGATATTGGTAGGATAATTCAGGCAGTAATGACTTCTGCAGATGCCACTGTAACCTTTAAACTTTATTTAATAAAGCCCTTGTCTATGGAAAGAAGTGTAGACTAACAAGTAAAAATGATAGCTAGAGATAGTGTAATTGACTCTGCCCTTACAATTGACAGCAGAACAGACTTTAGTTAGTCTTGGGGTACAGTTTATGCAATGAAGCCTGGAAAGGACTTTGGTTCTAATTCTGGTTTACCTATGCTATATGTGGCCGGTCTTTGTAGAGTTGATTTGAAAGAAACAGGGGTTTGACACGGACTTGGCAGGGGTTTGCCCAGAACACGACGCGTCCCTTCGCATAAAGTGCTAGACTATGGGTGGTTATATCATACGACTGGATGATTTAATTATTGATCGAATCATAATTGTTATTCGCATCTTACTATCAGTAACTACGTCATTAAAATAATCACTACTATCGTTCAAATTTGTAATCTGAATCCTGCAGTGAAATTTATCCTTACCTTTTTAGCGACAGGTATTTTAGGGAGCTGCCAGGCATTGA